CCCACGTTGATCGATTGCACGTAATCTTTGAAGTGGTATTAAACTTTTTATATGTAAAGCGGAATGTCAACCTGCGACACCCCGAACCCTCCGATCATGGCCCGACCAGCGGCATCAATGCCCAACAGTTTACGATCTCATCTTGTTACACCACTTTTACGCGAACACACGGTCACATCGGCGATAATTCCAGTCTTCTGTTCACAACCCACAGCACTGCCATCACGATGTTGCAGCTATGTTGCTGACACGCACAAATACAGAACCACGCTGAAAGCCGCGGTTGCACTCGGCATCGGAAAACAGAACCGAACTCAGCACGGAAGGCACCCAGGCAGCCGGCAGCAAAACCTGCCTGTCTTGGACGCAGTTCCTGCGGTTTCCATAACGTCGAAAACGCCGACACAGTTCCGCGTGGTTTCGCTACTGTAGTTCCGTGCCACGTGAGTCCCGCAATCCGGAGACGGCCATCGCGGCCATCCTATCCAGTGTACGTGGCGCTGCTGGCACTGCTCCGAAACTTCGCTGTTTCTAGCGGCTTCGTTTGCTCGTTCGATACAATTAGTAATATAAACGTCAATGCAACCGAAATGTTCTGCACGTTTAGACTAGAAGACGGAATTAGAGGCGGCTTTCGCTGCCGCTGAAGCTCAATAAGCTCAACAGCTATTTATTAAAAAACGTGCGCGACCTGCTCGAAAAACGAAACCGAAAGAAGATGAGTCGGGAGGGCGAAAGCTTTCTCCCGCCTGCCTGGAGAAGGAGAAAAACGTTTCGTTCCTCCCCTTTTCTCGTGTCCGCTTGAGGGCGCGTCAGTAGAAGGGAGGAAGGCGCGCCGTTGCTACTTTTTTCCTCCATTTTTTTCTTAGAGAGCATGACTAATTGTACAGCTGACTGTTTTGTTCCCGAAACCTTCAGCAAAAAAAAAAATCACCAAGACAAAAAAAAAAAAAAACCTTTTATCGGTGTCCCATACGTTGGCATATTCGTTTTAGTATAGCGCTGCTGGCTCTTACGTACGCAATATTCAATAGTATACCGTAAGCTAAAAACGACCTGCTCAGACCGATTTTGATTGTGCGTTATTTTGCCAAGTGAACATCTGACATGATCTTTTTTTACTCAATTTGCCAGAGCCGTAGAATTCCGCGAGCTTATAGAGCCACCATGCTACTCAAAATAAATATTGAAAATGAAAACGTTTCCAATAATTTTATATCAAATTACACCAAGCCACAGCTCCCTGGTGAAGCGCGTTTTTCTGCGAGGTACGGAGGCTACGAGTAGGAGTGCGTAGCCAAATTCGATCACGTAGCCTCCATCAATATAGTCCCGTGGAAACGGCACCTTTTATCAATGCTATCGCGGGAAGAAATCTATGATCTACTGATGTCCAATTCATAGCGACAGCTTCGGCGATTTCTCGAATAGTCGTCAGTCCGTCGGCGATGAACTGCGGAAAGAAGCTTAGTGTTGAGCAAATCGCAGCGTTGACGCACATTGTGAGCAGTGAACATTTTCACTGTGCACTCCTTCAGCTGCACGGCGATCTAATTCGACCGCGGTAGGTCCCGGATACAATTGCCGAACTGAACGCCACCGAATTTCACATAGCACTGAACTTCACGAACACTAATGTGGCGATGCGTGCGAGTTGGTTATGCATGTTGAGAGTAGTGAAAGCGCACAATAAAGACGAATACGAAGACGGAGAGACAAACAGGACGGGCGCTGACTATCAACTGAATTTTTTATTGGAAAAAATAGAAACAGCAAGATAAAACCAGCAAAAGCCACAAATACTACAAATGTGACTAGTCATCAATGACTCGGCCACCACACGTGTCAATAAAGTCCACTTTCTTTTTGTGAAGGAAAAGTGAGGGCTGACTGATACACTTATTAGGACATTCCTTCTTTATTATGTAAGCCTCCAGTACCTCCCTCGCCACCTTTTCTTTAGCTCTCCCAACGATTGTAGTGCCTTGAAAGTTGGGAAAAAAGATTGCCGCTGCATTCCCAACTTCCAAGGCACTACAATCGTTGGGAGAGGTAAAGAAAAGGTGGCGAGGGAGGTACTGGAGGCTTACATAATAAAGAAGGAATGTCCTAATAAGTGTATCAGTCAACCCTCACTTTTCCTTCACAAAAAGGAAGTGGACTTTATTGACACGTGTGGTGGCCGAGTCATTGATGACTAGTCACATTTGTATTTTTTGTGGCTTTTGCTGGTTTTATCTTGCTGTTTCTATTTGTTCCAATAAAAAATTCAGTTGATAGTCAGCGCTCATCCTGTTTGCCTCTCCGTCTTCGTATTCGTCTTTATTGTGCGCTTTCACTACTTTCAACCTTTACGAACACCACGTTGCCCTTGCTTCGCCAGTCGAGATAACCGCCATCTTAAAACTGGTGCCCTTGCTGGGACAGAGATCTCTCAAGAGCTACCCGCAAAGCCCGCAAGCCGCCCACAACGCGAAATCCCAGGCGTTGTGCGCGTACGCAATACGCTGGCCCTCCTATTGCGTTTTCCGCACGCGCACTCTCGACCCGCAATTTCTTTGCGTGTGCAGAGCTTTAGCGTAGGGTCCACTAAAACTGTCTATTGCCATCATCAAGCACGCTTATTGTTTATTGCCATACAAGGTATATTTCGCCTACGCAATTAATTTTCTACGAAAACGAACTCTTATATACTAAAACTCTGAAGGCCCGGAGTTAGGCACAGGGCTACCGGGACGGCCGCTAGGGTAGTACTCTAGCATTATGCACCCTTCCCCCGTCAACCGTAGACCGTGATCTTCCATTCGGATAGCACGTGCCTCAGTCACAACTTCTAACAATTCATCTATCATATTTTACTAAAACCACGACCAGTAGGCTATACTGTATGTACTAACCACCCAGCATCTCATAGTTCAATAAACGTTTAACCACCACCAACCGGCTGCAGAGCCCCACATTCCTGTCGTCTAAGGTTGTTCCTTTACTTTTTGTTTTCTGTCACATCTGGGCAGCGTTGTGGGTGCTACCGCAAAGAGTAACAAAATACGTTACTCGTTACTTGTAAATAAAAAAAATTTGCGACTTGAAACGTTCCACTGTTTTGCTTAAACCGCCAAAACATGCCTTAAAATTTGGCAAAATCTTTAAGGTGTTTGCGATGAGTGCGAAAAGTCATGACTTGGTTCCTAGAAACAAGAAAATAATTTAAGTGTTATTTTTTAAGTTTTGTGAAGAACATGTTTCAGGCAACGTATGAGCTACGTTACCAGTTAATCGAAATAAGTAACGTAAGCACGTTATTTGTTCCTTTTGCTGTTGACTTGCCAGTGGCAAGTCAACAGCAAACAGATTTGTTCTGTTTCCTCACACCTTTTTTTTCATTAAGACGGGTAAGGCCCTGGTCTCAAAAGCTAATGTTTTAATTTTTGTTTATTGTCAGCAAGATAAAGTTGCCACAAAGCTTAAAAAGCTACACTCCCTTAATCTAGAACTTTCATTTTTTCACTTTTTTTAACACATATTTAAATCTGGCCACGTGCGTGCTCAGAGCTCAAATCAGGGTCAGAGAGCGATCGCTTATAAGGAAGGTTGGTGCAACGGCAGCTTTCGCGAATTTGCGGTACGCATATGTCAACGACGGTAAAAGTGCCCTGAGCAGCATGAACGGCATAAAAGTGACATAGAAACGCCGATGCAAGTCATTATTGGGATGCTCATGCAGGAGTGTGCGGTGCAAAGCATGAACATATCAACATCTTGAACACCCGAGTCTATAAACAAAAAGTGGACAACACACAACCAGAGCTCCACATTTTGTTCCTTGTCTCGTGTGTTTAATATGTTGAAAGTTCACCAGCTCGCCTGCATCATCTCTGTTGTTTCTATGATAAAAAGTTCTCAAACGTGTAACTTGTATTGATGCGTTGTTTTTTTTTTTTCCTTCTATAAGTAGAGGATGGTGCTGCTGTATGCTTCCCAGCTCCGCCGGGGTTGAGTGGTGTCTCAAGAAATAAAGTGCAGCCCAGATGTGTCTGCTATTTTGAGTGCAAAATTGAAAAGATGGCATGCGATTTATCTTATGGGAAGAAAGCTGAAATTCATTAGTTGCTTAGTTCATTCTTTTACAAGAGAATTCAGAAACACCCTTTTTAGAGTGGAACAACTATAATCGGTGACGGCATAAGAATGCAGTAGCTAATCTACCTCCAGCACGTGATTGATTGCCTTCCGCCGGGGATTCGTTAGGAGTACACCGAAGTGATAAGACAAAATGCCCGTCCTGGAGGCGCAGCATCTATGGTGTATTCGCAACTTGACTCAGACAATAATTTGGAGGGCGGTACGTTTCCAAATTTTAAATAGACAGATCCCTTTTTCAAGCCGACCGCCTCTGGGGTCTTCCGAAAATGTTTCATCCCCGATGCTGCGCCGCCCTTAAACAAAACAAAATTAATCATACTCGGTTATTCGATGGACACGTGTGTGATAAATTCTTTTTTATATATAATAAATATTCTGCGTAATATTTTCAGGTGACAATACATGACACATAGCAGTGACTTTATTCGTATATCAATAAAAACAAACAAATATAAATAACCTGAAACTTATGGGCAAACAAAAATGTTCTAGCAACGAAATCTTGAGGTTCCTTATGCGCGACGCCAAAAATTTCGTGCCGTTGCAAAACCCCAATAGTACACTTGTCTCCATTTTAAACATTGTACTTACCTATATATTTTATTAATCCGCTTTGAATGTTTACCTGACTTTTCATATTAATGTATTTCTACCAGGGTCAACGATACAAATAAGCATAGGACGAAATTGCCAGCGCCTCTGAATATTAAGACGCTACATACCTGTTGAATATTTTGAAATTTGCCAAGTATTCATGTGCTCAGTATTTATATAAAAAAGTGTTTAAAAAGACAACGCATAATCAAGAGTTTTTTCTTAACTACTAAATCATGTTTTCTCTATTTTTTTCTCATGAGCCCAAGCATCGGACAACCAGAATGATGAGGGTGAGCATAGAGATCATATTTAAAGAAAACAAAAATCTGAAGTCCATTTTACCTTCCTTTATGCTTGTAGTGCTCAATTGGTCAAGGAACGTAACACTGGTCTAACAGTGAATAGTGGTTGATTTCATTGAACTGAAATAGCAGCTGCCTGTTTTTTTTTCCATGGCCTTTAGCGAGAAAATGCATCCACACGAAAAGACAGCTCCTTCATCTGTGTCTCATACTATGCGTGGGAACATTCGTCCTATGTATGTTTCAAAACCGTTTCTCTCCTCAGTAGTTTCAAAAGTGACTGGGTTAACCGTCAATCCCTTCGGCCTTCAGTTAACGAAGCAAACTCAAGAGTGCCTCGCCAACGGTCCTAAATTCTGCGAAAATGTGAAACCGTCTAGAATCGATATCGTTTCAGCCATCCACAGTTTGTCAAATGTTTTACCCAACCCTGCTGAAAAAACTGCATTAGAATCAACCTCGATGAAAATAATGTCTTCCTTAGTAGATCCATCTTACCGGACTGACCGTAGGGATTTTCGAAAAGTTACCTCCGTGAAAAACGAGTTGAAAGAAAAGGACATCATGCTTCTCGAAACTGACAAATCTGGGAAATTTGCTGTTTTACCAATGAATGAGTTCCGAAAAAAATCAGATTTAGCCATAGGGGGGTTGTTCAGGCAGTTCAATGGAAACCTAAGACAGATTAAGCGGGAAATTGTAAGAATAATGAAAGACAATGAATTTCCTGCCTTAGTTTCCAAAATGAAAGTAACCTCAAAGGACACTTTTGGAATCAAGTTTTTTTTGAAGGAACATAAGGTGGACCTTCCTCTTCGAGTTGTGGTGAATGAGGACGGCACTTGGCAAAAACTAGTGTCGTCGTTTCTTCAAAAGGCCTTGAGTGGTTTAGATGTCGGAAGTCCATTGACCCTACGTTGCTGAGATGACTTAGTGACAGAATTGGAACCTTTTCATAGTAAGCGCTGCACTCTCTTCTCGATGGATATCAAAGACTTATATTATTCGCTAGAACCTAAGATGTTACTTGAACGCGTAGGTCAGTTTCTTGAAAACAATCTTGTTAGATTCCAGTCACATTCTGGGATAGGGGTAGCCGACTTCCTTAGGATTCTAGAACTATATTTAAAAGCAACTGTTGTTCAACACAATAATCGAGATTTCATTCAGAAACGTGGAATATGCATAGGTTCGGCAGTTGCTCCAATTTTGTCAGAGATATATTTAAGTTATCTAGACCTAAAGCTCCATGACATCGTCCGGAACCGTTCTCCCAGCGACGTTCATGTAAGGCGGTACGTCGACGACCTTTTGATATGCAGTACCGATCCTAATTTAGCGGCATCACTTGAAAAGGCTGCCCTGAACTGTTGTCCAGAATTAAAGTTTTCTGTAGATAGACCAGAGGGGGGTACCTTACAATTTTTAGATCTACAGCTGAAACATCCATCCAATTTGTGCTGGGAATACGGCAAGCCAAATGCCAAACCTCTCCTTCCATTTCACAGTTGTCACTCAAAACATGTAAAGGCTGGCATAGTACGCAATTCGATCAACACTGCTCTGAAAAAATCATGTTCCCACTTTATTGAGTCTGCTCTCAAGCGCCTGTTTGACCGTTTTAAAGCCGCTGGGTACCCTCAAGATTACGTGTTCAATCAGTTGTTGTTTCTCATCTCCCTCAAGAAAAAGTGCCAAAGTGTTCTTCAACCCACAAAGCGTGTAGTTCTTCCGTTTTTTCACCAGATTTCAGATAATCTTAAATCTATTGGTAATAAGTATGGTATTAGCACGGTATTCAGCAATGATTACAAACTGAATCGTTTGACTCCGTTTGCTTCCGCCAGAGCAGGGTGCACTAAAAAACACAAGGAAAAAGAGGTCAGTTGTGTGTCAGGAGTAGTATACAGGATCCCGTTTGATTGCGGATTATGCTACATAGGACAAACCAAGCGCTGTATAAACGATCGTCTCACCGAACACAAACGTTGTGTCAAAAACAAAGATCCTTATTCGGAAGTATCAAAACATGTAGTGGAATGCAATAATTGTCTACCCAACTGGGGCTCAACAACAGTCATCTTATCAGAAAAGGATGATCGGAAGCGTTTGATAAAAGAATCTATAACAATCATGAATCATGGGAATGCGGTAAATAAGCCATCCCTCACAATAGATAAAGAACAAAGAAAGTTTTTACAAATTTGATGTCTGCACGTCCTGTCAATCGATGTGTTGAGGTCTTTGTCCGATTTTAAGTCTTTTCGCTTTGTTGTTTCCTGGTCGTTGGTTCGTTGCGTCCTTCCTGTTATAGTGTTGCGGTTTTTTTAGGACTAATGCACTTTGGTCCTTCTACTTTGCTTTTGTTTCTGTATAAACGACCTGTTGTACTGTTGGGGTCTCTTGGGGACTAATGCACTTTAGTCCTTCTACTTAGCTTTTGTTTTTGTATAAACTTTTCAGTTCTTTTGTAATGCTTGTTTTTTGTTGTACTGCTTGTGGCACGGGTTTTCTTCTTTCTTTTTTCTTTTTTCTTCTTTTTTTTCTTCTTTTTTTCGTCTCTTTTGTTTGTGAAGGTTTCTCCCTCTCTTTCCTTCGTCTCTTTTGATTTGTGTAGGATTTGACGCCTATATAAGCACCCTTCCTTGTCAAATAAAATTCAGCTGTGTTTGAGACTTTGTGTTTGTCCGTCCCTTTTTGTCCCAGTCTCGGGGTTTTTGTCGAAATGTAAATACTATGCCACATAGGAAATTCGCTCTGACAAGAAAAACATTTAATAATATCAAGAATAACAAACGCTGTTTCAAATTCGGATGCAATATTGATTGTCATCATCAATCACGATAATGCTTTATGCCATACAAGCTATATCTCTAGCATGAAAGTAAAAATTTTCAAAGAAAAAGGATTATTTTTTAGAAACTAAATTTCCGCAAGGCCGTGGTTAGGCACAGGGCTATCGAGACGGCCGCTTGGATGATACTCTTGCATTATACCCCTTTTCTCCCTCAACCGCAGGCCGTTGTCTTCTATACGGGGAGCACGTGCCTCAGTTACGACATCTAACAATTCATCCATCATATTTTACTAGCACCACCACCACTGGGCCATACTAAATAGGAACCACCCAACATCTCATAGTTCAATAAACTTTTAACCACTACCAATCGTCGCACAGCCCCTCGCCCCCATCGTCTAAGGCTGTTCGTTTACATGTTTTCTGTCACTTTTGGGACCAGTGGCAGGTGTTACCGAAAAGAATACCTAAATGTGTTACTCGTCAGTGTAAAACTGTTTTGACGTAAACCGTCAAAACATGCCATAAAATTTTGGCAATACCTTGAAGGTATGTGAGATGGGTGACAGGACTCATATAACTTGGGCCCTAAAAACTTAAAAAACGTAAGTGTACTTTTTAAGCTTCAAAAAGCAGAAGTAACGGGTAGCGTATTAACTACTTTACCCATTACTCGAAATTTGTAACGTAAGTGCGTTATTCGGTCACTGCTTTCAAAAGGCAACAAGTACGTTATTACGTTACGCAAAAAGTAACGCGTTACCGGTAGTGTGATTACTTGTGAGGCGTCATCGCCAACATCTCATTTGGGTTATCTTTGAAAAATCCAGGAACGACATTCAAACCCCGGGTGCCACAGGCAAAACCACCTCCCCTTGTTGACACTTTTTCATTCGCCCTTCTGCTCGCTCCGACGTTGGGAGTGACAGGTGGTCCATTTTAGGACGCACACGCAGGTCAACAGCAAACAGCTTCGTACTGTAACCTCGCTCTCTTTTTTAATATTATTAAGAGGGGCAAGGCGCTGCTGTAACAAGCTAACGTTTTTGTTTAGTTTTTTTTTTTTTGTTTTTTTGTGATTTTTTTTACGAAACGTTCCCACGAAGCATAAAAATCGACGTTGCCTTAATTTCACTCTCCCTTCTTCACATAGTTTTGTAGCTTCTTGAACACGAAGACATGTATAAATCTAATTACTTGCGTGCCCAGGGCTCAAATTAGCATTATAGAGCGGGACGCTTAGAAAGAAGGTTGGTGGAACGACAAAATTTGCGAGTTCCTGGAACGTACATGTCAACGACGGTAACAGTGCCCTGAACAACAGGAACGGCATAAAAGTGTCACAGAGACGCCGATGCAAATCATAATCGAGAGCCTGGTGCAGGTGAGGGTGGTGCAAAACTAAAACATATCAATATCTTGAACACCCGAGTCCAGGAAACAAAAGACTCCACTTTTTGTTCCTTGTCTCGGTTGTTCAAGATGATGAAAGTTCACCAGCTCGCCCGCATCTTCTTTGTTGTTTCTATCAAAAAAAAATATAATCAAAAGTTTAACTCGTATTTTTGAGCCTTTTTTCAGAGCGCAGCTCTTAGGGTCCCGTTTTCGGCTTTAGCGGAGTCGCCGTCGCCGTCGGCGTAACCGCTGCGACGTTTCGGCGTGGTGACATTTCGGCCCCGTGCCGAAACGTCCTCGGCGTTACAACTCTTTGTGACGCCAATTAGAGCGCAAATCTTGAGGAGGATGAGGGAAGGGTACTGACCCCCTGAGGGGGAATCACGTGACCCTCAGTGGCCTCTGTGAGGTCACGTGACCCCCGTGAGGCCATGAGGGTCAGGCCACGTCAAGAGGGTCACGGGACCTCACGGTTATGCCGACGCCCACGCCGCTCGGAGGTTGGAGTAGCAGGCGGGGCGAGGAGGTGAGAAGGAGGGAGGAGGGGTATAACCCTCCCCTCAGTACCCTTCCCTCCTCCTCCTCAAGAGCTGCGCTCTAATTCGGCGTTACAAAGAGTTGTAAACGGCTTTCATTTTTTTTTTAAGTAGAGGTTGGTTCTGTTGTATGTTTTACGACGCACCGGTGTCGGGAGGAGTATAAGTGTAGCCCAGATGTGTGTGCTATTTTACAGCAAAAGTGAAAGATGGTTTGCAATTTATCCTATGGGAACAAAGCTGAAATTCATTAGTTGCGCGGTGCTTACTTTTACAAGAGAATTTAGAAAACCCCTTAGAGCGGTACGGCTATAGTCAGTCCCGGCATAAGAATGCTGCAGAAGGTATGCTTCCAGCACGTGCTGGTTTCCTTCCGCCAGGCATTATATAAAAGTGCACCGAGGTATTATCAAATACAGAAAGCCCGTGCTGGAAGCGCAGCATGTATAGTGTATTCGTAACTTGTCACAGACTATAATTTGGAGGGTGGTTTCAACACATGAAATAAGCACATTCCTTGCTCGAAGCGACCACCTCTCGGGTATTCTGATAATGTTTCATCCCAGGGGCTGAGACTGTGACTCTATTAGCATACCAATAAAAACATAGAAATACAAAGTCGCTGGAAATTATGGGGAAACAAAAATGTTGTACCGACGAATTCTCGAGGTCCTTTGAGCGTGATGCAAACAGTTTGGTGCCGTTGCAAAAACACCAATAGTAAACTTGTCTTAATTCTAAACATTGTACTTACCTGTGTGTTTTATTGATCAGCTTTGAATGTTTTTTATCTTTTTATATTAATATATACTAACAGGGACAACGATAAAAATAAGCATAGGAAAGGATTGCCAGCGCCTCTGAATATTAAGACGCTACACACATAATGAATGTTTTTTGTCATTTGCCAAGTATTCAATCGCTTAATACTGATATTGAAGCGGTGTTTAAAAAACCCACGCATAATCAATAATATTTTCATTAAGCAACTAATAAATCATGCCTTTTTCCTAACTTTTTCTCATTAGCACAAACATCGGAGGACCAGAAAAATAAAGAAGGTAAGCATACTGATGATATTTAAAGAAAAAAAATCCAGTCATCGTTTACCTCCCTTTATGCGTTTGGTGTTCAAGTGGTCAAAAAACGTAGCACTGGTCTAACGGTGAACACTGGTTGATTTCACTTAACTGAAGCAGCACTATCAGTATTTATAATCATGACTAAATGTACAGCTGCCTTTCTTGCTCCCAGGGTCTTTAGCGAGAAAATGCACCGACACAAAATACAGATATAGTAACCCTGGAGCCAGGGGACTTTTTCCCCTAGCTCCAGGGTTACTATGTCTATTCTTAACGATCTCGCCTGCTTACTTGCTTTAACAAGAAACAGCCCCTTCATCAGTGTCTCCTATGTTGGAACATTCAAAAGTTGCTCTAACAACAAAAATCTAATAGTAGCAAGAATCCAAACGCTATTTAAATTTTAGAAGCAATCTTTATTGTCCTCATCAAGCACGATAATGCTTCAATTTATACAAGGTATATTTTCCGCAAAAAAATTAATTAGTTTTTTACAAAAAAAAAGTGAAAGCCGTTTACAACTCCCTGTAACGCCGAATTGGAGCGCAGCTCTTGAGGAGGAGGAGGGAAGGGTACTGAGGGAAGGGTAGACCCCTCCTCCTTCTCCTCCTCCTACCCTCATTCTTTAATATGCTCCGGTCACGTGACCTTGGGGGTCACGTGACCTTGAGATGATCTTGGGAGGGTCACGTGACCTTGGGGTCATGTGACCTTGGGATGACCTTGGTTACGCCGACGCCGACGCCGCTCAAGCCGGGAACGGGCCCCTAAGAGCTGCGCTCTAAAAATATATAACTCTTTCTTATAAACTAAAACTTCGCAGGGCCGAGGTTAGGCGCAGGGCTACCGGGACGGCCGCTAGGGCAATACTCTAACGTTATGCCCCCCCCCCCCCCCCCCCGCTCTCCACCGCAGGCCGTGGTCTTCTATACAGAGAGCACGTGCCCCAGTTACAACTTCTAACATATCATGAATTACACTTCGCTACCACCGTCACCATTGGCCACACAAGATAGCAACCGCCCAGTATTTTATCGTTCAATAAATGTTGAATTACTACCAACCGCCGGCAGAGCCCTATTCTCCTATCGTCTAAGGATGTTTGCTTACTTGTTGTTTTATGAAATATTTGGGCAGTGTAGTAGGCAATACCAAAAAGAAGTAACAAAGTACAATACTCGTTACTTTTAAATAAAAGGAAAGCGTTGCCCACCTACGCTATCTTAAAATAAAAGAAACGCTTTACCTTACCGATAAAATGTTACGCACGTTACTTTTGCGTTACTTTTTGTTCATCTTCATTTATGAATTAAAAGGTTTAATGTTTTGACGTAAAACGTAAAAATGTACCGTGTTTTCCGGAATATAAGGTAATTGTAGAAGACCGTTTTTCTCCTCTGCTACGGTATCCCCGAAAAAAACGGCGCAGCTGCGCATGCGCGCCGCCAGCCTTGTCTGCATAGTTCAAGGTCTTGTGGCGGATTACGGAGCGCTATCCGGGTGCTTAGCGGGCTGCGGAAACGGTCTACTATAATAGTCAGTTTTCGTAGATGACTTTCGCCGTCCCGCAACGCCCTCCGCAACCCGCCACGATACCCGGATCTCTACAGTCAAGGCCATGGGCGCGCAGGCGCAGTAGCGGCTTCTTCGTTGCGGAGGGCTTAGCGGAGGGGGAAACGCGGTCTGCGAAAACTTCCTAATACTAGGCAGTTTTCGTCAACCGCATCTCCCCCTCCGCTAAGCCCTCCGCAACGAAGAAGCCGCTACTGCGCCTGCGCGCCCATGGCCTTGACTGTAGAGATCCGGGTATCGTGGCGGGTTGCGGAGGGCGTTGCGGGACGGCGAAAGTCATCTACGAAAACTCCCGAATTCCCCATTGTCCGCACCCGATTCAGCAAAGCTCAATTTAGGCCGAAAAAAAAAAAAAAGGTTTTGCTTAGATAGTCCGCATCCGGTGCTTAGTCGACACGAAAATCTTCTCATAAGCGGCACCCCTTGACAAATGTCTGCTTTATTAGCCCACACAGAGGGCTATAGTATACATAAATCATCATTTACATACTCTTCCAATCACAAAATCCGTCTCGTCATAATGAACGACCTTGAAAAACAGAATACCCGTATAGTCCGCACGCGGAGATAGTCCGTACAGCCTAAAATTTCAACTTTTAAACATGTATGGTCCGGGACTATAGGCCGGAAAATACGGTACCTTCAAAATTTGAAAAACTTTTGAAGGTATGTGGAATGAGCGCGTTCACATAACTGGGTGCAGAAAAACATGAAAAGAATGGATGTAATCTTTTTAACTCTATGGAAGAGGATGTAACCACTAAGGTAGCTACGTTACCCGTTACTTCAAATATGTTACGTAACTATGTTACCCGTTTCTGTTTTGGAAATGCAAGAAGTGGTACCTTATCCACCCCCCTAAAAAAAAAATTACTTTGTTATTGTTCCGCATGGCCTTTCAAGAAGGTTACCAAATTAACAACTTTTACGAATTCAGGATAAAAGTGTAGCAATTACCACGAGAGCACAGTAGCTTAACTGCAGCCTTTCCCTAAATTGAAACAAAAGCCGGCAGACAGAACGAAACAGCAAGTGTTGTGATATCACCTTAACACCGATAATCATGACACAACGTCCACCTTTGTTTCAATGATTAGTCTCTGCATTCTTACAACGCTACGAGTGGACCGCAAACTTAACTTAATCTGTCCGAACTTCAACAGGATCCGAGTCCTGTTGAAGTTTGAAGGCTGTCCAAAATCTAGGAAAACGTAGCTACAGGCTGCGGCCGGAAGCTCTTTGCAGCTACAGGTAGATGGGACGGAACAACTCCACACCATCGAACAACACTCACCCACAAAGAGGAAAATACGCCGATCACGCAGTACACGCCGTTGTAGGCAACTCGCCACAACGGGTTACACGCCAAAATGAAACTACGGCATCGGCCCTTTAAATATTGAAGATACAAACTGCTATGCGGTACAGATAAAGGGAAGGACGACTAAGAAAGCACTGACCATTCCGAGGTATCGCTGTTTTTCTCCCATAAAAAATTCTCGCGTCTGTTGAAAAATCATAGAGGCTCGTGTCCTTAAGGTTAACGCAAGGCGCGAAACATTCGAGTACTTCGAAAAGCAACTCCCTTACCTTAACCTATAATCTCATGTCAGGGTTCCTCATAACTTCATTTGACCCTCCAAAGAGGCAAGGCCAAGACATAAAAAAAAAAAAAAACAGGATTGATGGTCACACCGTAAGCGCGCAGCTCGCGTCAACACGCCTTCTATAATCAGGAGGAAAATACAAACACAAGCGAAACTCAGATAGGCCCCCAGCGACAACTTCCCAACAAAAGAGACCCCAAGAACCGTGACAAACCATCTGGTGTTTCTGCATTCCTAACTGTTAAAAGTGCGTCATAACTCCCGCAGAACAACACGCAGATTAACTCATCGTGACTTCCTCATCAGCATACGGGAACACAAATGGAAATCACCTTATGAATAAAACAAAACATTTGCTGAAATTTGTTATTCTACAATCCCCATTTCTCAGCCCTACTTTGCAAATCCATTCATCATCAGTCCACAACTCGTATAATATGAATATGGGAACTACCACTTTTTGAATAATACTCACATATATGCCCCTTATTTACAGACGATTGAAGCATTAAAAAATTCAATTACACTTAACTTTATTCCAGTCTGCAAACATGCAATACAAGGTACAATACTTTCAAGCACTGTGTCGGTCAAAGGTCGAACTCATCACTCAGTCAATCGGTTTATGATACACATAATGTCAAACAAATAGGCGTAGACATCCTCGTTCGACAAAAATTAAACTAGAGCACGTTGGCCTTATTTTAACGCAAACAACTAATCATTGAGTTTAAAAAAAGAAAACTCATTTCTGCAGTAATCTATTTTTCTTCCACTGTCACGCTCTCTGCACCTGCAAAAACAACTAATTATTGTATATGCCTTTTCCTTTCGTAATATTTCTACACATTTATGGTGACACCCAAGAAAAACAATTAGGTGAGTAAAACTTTGGTTTCAAGTACGCTGGGCGACACTGTCAGCGCGAACAAGCTCTCATCGAGTTTTTCTGCTTTTCTTCAAAAACATTAGACTTGTCATTAAATCTACTGGTATTATGCAGAGTGCTCCCACGGAACACAAACTTAATCGGTAAAGTTTGGCGTTTCAATACGCTATCAAGTAACCTACAAAACGAAAGTGTGAATCTCATGTTCACGCTAAGAGTGTCGCAGAGTGTACATTCAAAATAAAATGTATTATTTTTTCAATTGACTGTGGAAACTATTAAACGTCGATTAATTGATGTGTATGTATTCATTTTATCATAATAGTTGCTAGATGCAGTACGATAAAAAAAAGAACCCTGTTAAGCCTGAGCCTTTAAATTGACCGCATAAATTGGCTTGGTAACGGATCGCACTACGATTTCCCACAAAGTGGTCTGAAGGTGGTGGAGGCATTCCATCAAAATTTCAAAGAGCGACCTTACCTGAGTAAAAAATAAAAAAGGGTCACTGCCTTTCTCTACGTACGCGTAGCCGGCATGCTAACTACGCATCCTCTGACCATGGTGCAATAACCGACATATAGCGGCAGAGGCAGCTTACAGTAGCTATAGAGCCTACATCGCTGAGTTTCCACTGCTTGATAATGGGTCACGTGCTTTGCAGCCGCGTTGGCGATACGAGCTGCGAGGAGGCGACAAAAGCGTTGATTGTCTGCAAACGTCTCCGCGTTTTTGTTTAGGGGTTGAAAGCGCTAAAAACGACGGACGAGTAGGAGAAACACACACCACAGAGCGCTTCCGCTCCGCGTTTCTGCCTGCTTTCCTCCTCGCCACGCGAACACGCAGCGCATGCGCATTTGAGGCAAGTTTCCGCACGAGGCGTCCGCCATTAAATTGCACGCGCTTGCTGTGCTTTCGGGTGGGCCCTCTCTTCAATATGTACTCGTAGTCAGATGAAGCAAAAAAGACGTATTCCGCATTATTCATTCGCTGCGCGAAGTAGATCTTACATTTGGTTGTCGATGAAAGAAGAGATGCTTTTGGCTAAAATTGCACGTCTTGATAAAATAACTTAAAGTCAATCTAAGATTCGCCGAATGCATCTTAATTCAACACAGGACTAAAAAGAAAAGAGTTCCGTTCTGCAACAAAAAAAAAAAAAGTTTTTTTTTTTGGTGTACGAGTTTAGGCAACGTGCGATGTTGTTTGGTTTGGCGCTCTCTAGCGACTGAAGCAAGAAGCATTGGGTACGCCTAAATGCGGCGGCTGAATTGTTCAAACGTGAGCTACTACTTTGTTGGCGTCGCATAGCCTCGTGTCTGAAGCAAGAAATGCTGGATAAGCCAGGGAGCCGTAGGCGTATGAAATGTCAGAACGGCGGAAGCTACGGCCCCTGCGATCCAATCGGAATAACGGAGGAAGGCACGTTGCTATGGGTATCGTTAGAGTGCGCTTTTACTATGGTGCCTGGATCGCGTCTTCGACTGGTGTGTTTAGCGTCCTATCTCGCCCATACATCAAAAGTGGTCCCGATGTGGCAACAAATGACGCGAGTGTCATGCTGTTGCCTGTCGCGATCCTGGCGGTTGACCGTAGAAATGCTGGCGAAAAGCTCGAGCGAACGCGAGTGTCGCTGTCGTCGCGGCGTCCCTTTAAGCATCTTAGGCGTCCCAACTCCGGCTGCTCAAGCTTCCGTGAACTGTCACAGTAAAAAGCGACCTGCAGCAGAACAGGCATCTGCTACATACACCACAGCTGTTGGGACGCCGCCAGGGTCGCGACCGGCGACAACATGACACTTCTATGACGTCATCAGGCGGAAATCAAGGGACCACTTTTTTGGCCGCGGTAAACACACCAGTCGGAGACGCGTTCCAGGCACCATACTTTTACTGCGAAGATGTGTCAGGCTTTTCGCCGCGTCATCCTTCAATCTTCAATATGTGTGCATTGCGCTAGTTTACGTAGCGCATTTCAAAGCCATCGGAACGCAATATGGGGCGTAGCGTTCACCCTGCACCAAGTTACAACGAGACACGATGTAGCGTTGGGCTCTCCCTTTGCTGGCGCAGCCAGACCGTTGCCGGCTGGCTATAGGCACTCTAAAGGCAGCTCAGTAGCCGCCGGGTCGCGCCAAAAGCTGACAACTGTTTCGAATTATAAACGGCCCACGCTTTTTCATTGCTATAATTGTCAGTGAATGGTTTATTTCTTGTTCCCAATAAAACACATTAAATAGACACAAAACCAATAAAACCGATGGTTCATCGAGTAACTTTAGCTACATGTCGTCAGAGCCATCTATTGATACAGTTTGAACAATGGGAGGAGGCGGGTTGAAGCAGCGAAAGGGTAGCCGCCGCCAGCGCCGGATACTCCCCGCCGTAATGATCCTGCGAAGTAAAATAAAGCCGAGATGACATTGATTGAGGTGCGCCCCCCGGCGCAGGTAATTTTCTTGTTTCGGCATGAGGCTGCAAGTACATCAATGGGTAATTGTAAGAGATTGGCGGAAAAAGGGAGCATGAAGGTGCTGAGTGCGTTTACTGAGCCAGAAAAGGTGACACTGACGAGAAAAGTTTTCTGAAATGTGAGTCGAAACTGCGAACATGGTATGCGCGTCCTGGGTTAGGGTTTAAATTCACACGGAATTGCGGTCGCGGTTTTCACCGTTCTCTGGATCTTCGTGCGTTTGCGACTGCAATCGTCACAAACACAGCTAAACCTTTACTGAGGAAAAAACCCTTTATATAGGGTTGAAAAAAGAAGAAGCAAAAGGAACCCTTCTTCAGATCATCTCTCTCAACAAAAGACACGACACCGGACCTCTAACAATGGGGTCAAACCAACAAAAGAACTGACCGCACCAAAGATGACACATCATTAAAAAAAAACACTCTGGGAAAACTACAGATAGCGCTGGACCTTTCACTGAGAAAGTCAGCTATAAGACTACACACACAAAAAAAAAAAAAGAAGTTAGAGGTTTAGAAACCGCTTCCATTCCGCATCTAAACACAAAGAAGGATTGTTCACTGCATTCCCATGATTCGTTATTGCGATTGACTTTTTCAGCAGGCGCTTGGGGTGGTTTTTTTCTGTTACAATTGGGGGGGGGGGGGGGGGGGGGGGTTGTCGAGTTCCATAACTGCACGCAATTCCTACACTCCTGAATATGCTTGGATACCTCGGAATGTGGATCCTTGTTTTTTACACATCGTTTATGTTCGCCTAGTATATCATTAATACAACGCTTCGTTTGACCTATATAGCACAGACCACAATCAAAACGGATCTTGTAAACTATACGTGAAATACATATAACACACTTTTCCCTGTGTTTTTTTTAAACAATCTTTCTGCGCGGAAGCGAACGAAGGTAACAGTTTCAAACTGCTATCTGTACTAAACGTGATGCGTAAACCAAACTTATCCCTGACTGATTTTAAATTGTGTGAAATCTTATGGAAAAACGGTACGACTACAAACTTTTTGTGCTGGGGTATTTTCCTAATTGGGTTGTCCTTTGCTACAATGTGCAAAAGCTGCTTGGAAATAAATTCTCGAGGATACTTTGCTGACGGGAAAGCGCCGAATAAACAAGGACGAAGAAGGGGACAGAGACGAAGCGCACTCACAACTGAAGGTTTATTGAAAACAACATTGACTATTAATACCGTCTATCGGGGTGTTGACTCAAAAAGAAAAACTCTTTATTAGTTAAGTGCAGTAACGGCGCACTAATACACTAACTCCCCCCTTGCTCTCTTACGCGGAATGCCTCGTGTATTTCTCGCGCTGTTTTGTTTTCGTATCTGCCCAGAACTGTTTTTTTTTTCCAATTCCGGGCCACATGGGCACCTATCACAATGAACCGCAAGATTGCCCGACGGGGACTGTTTGACTGACCAGGCATGTTCTCTGGCCCTTTCATTTATGCAACGCCCCGTTTGGCCCAAATACGATTCCCCACAACCCAATGGTATGTTATACACCACTGACGTTGCACACTCCACGTATTGATTAGCGTGTTTCTTTTGACACACCTTACCCTCTCCCTTTTCGTTGTTAATTTTTGAACATAGATGAGACAGCTTGTGTGGCGCTGAAAAGGCACTTCAAAATGAGCCGCCACTTTTTTTAGATTGTGAGATAGATTATGAATATAAGGAATCACCGCCGGTCTTGTTAGTTGTCTGGGAGGAATATGATCGTCATCTTTTCTCTTCATCTTGGAAACAAGGTTATCCACCACTTCCACCAAGAAGCGATCGGGGTACCCTCCGCGTTTTAAACAATTCACCTGCGTGAGAAAGCTTTCATTCACGACATGGTGGCATGATTTTCCAAGAGAGGCTCTTATTAGGCACGATGCTGCTCCCCTTTTGACGAGTTTGGATTGCGCAGAATTGAAGGGCAGAACCCCTTTCTTAGTTCGCGGCTCATATTTCCAACAAACATGGTCATCTTCGAAGTCGAGGCTCAAATCCAAAAACTGAAGCCTTTCCATCGTCATAGTTTCATGGGTGAACGTCAATCCATGTGAATTCAAGTTAAAACAATCCAGCACGTCGTTGATTAAGTCCATGGTAACAGTAACGGACTTCGGGGCAAGCACCAAGAAATCATCGACATACCGACAAATTGTGAACTTCCCCAATCTTTCGATATCCTTACGTATTATCTTATCACATTCAGCCAAAAATATATCGCAAAGCACTGGCGCAACACGGGAACCGATACATATGCCTCGCTTTTGAACGTGAACGTCATCCCCAAAGGACACAAAGATTGAGTTAAGGTAGCATTCTAGTAACTCTAAAAAAGATTCCACACTTACTCCGCACGAATTTCTAAAGCATATTTCATCGTTTTCTTCAATACAGTTTTTTACCGCTGGGAACAGCTTGTCATGCGGGATGGAATAGAAAAGGTCTTCCACGTCAATAGAAAAAGCCTCCACCGTAGGATTGGTCGCCCTTCGCGATACTTTGCAACATTTAATCGGGAAAATACAACTTGAATCGACGTCATAATGGGCTGCCAACATGATTTTTGAACCGCGTTGTTAATCATGTTTCGAACCAGTCCTGTCTTGACATGCTTTGAATGGCAGCTATCAAAGGGAAGTGCTGGTTTAGCCTTTTCTTTGCCAACGACCAACATAAATCGGGGACCAATCTGAGCTGGAGGTCTAAATACTGCAGTGCGTTGTTGACTGGCTTTTCTATAGAAAACTTCCACTCCGGTGCCTCCCTGTACACGGTATTCTCGATGGAACCAGCAAGGGCTGAGTCACGGACACATGCCAATATGTCATCCACGTATCTTCTAATAAGTACTGAGCTCGGGTGATAATGTTTGATCATCTCAAGCAATTTTAGGTCTAAGCTCCGGAGGTATATGTCTGAAAGGGCCGGGGCAACAGTCGAACCAATACATACGCCTTGACGTTGAATGTATTTCCATTCATCATAGTATACCGCTGTCGACTTTAGATACAGTTCAAGTATCCTTAGAAAATCATTGACCTCTGTACCAGACTGGGACTGAAACCGAACTAAATTCTGTACCATGAAACGGTTGAATATCTGATATCATATCCATAGAAGAACCTAATGCTAACGGGTTTTTGAAATCTAGGCAAGAAAGACAATTCTGAAGGAGCGTGGATACAGTTTTTCACCACATGCCATTTTCGTTGATAACTACTCTCAGAGGAAGGTCAACCTTGTGGTCTTTCAAAAAGAACTTAATGGCAAACGTATCTTTCAAGTTACCATTCAGTCTGGCAGGTAAGGACGTAAAGTCACTGTCCTTAAAAGAGTCCGTTGCCCTTTCAGTTACCAAGAGTCACAAATTTCAACTCTAGCATACTAAAATAAAATAATTTAATATATTTCCTAACCAAAAATCGTGATGAGAGGGTATTCGTTAAGCTCGTTGCCTCCGCTTGTTCGTGATCAGTGGTTGGTCAGAAGAGCGGTCAATGAACGCGCCCAAGGTTATTGAAACCGCCCAATGACGTGCCCTTATTTTCGACATACTCTTACCAATTAATGTCCAAACTCTACATATATGGCTCTGCATGTCCTCTGCTTTTGGCACCACCGGGTGGCGGCTGAGCTGCCGTACACCGCCAAGGTCCGCTGCCGCCATCTGTCTATTAACTCTATGTTGTAGCGCCAGTCAGAGTCGGAGTAATTTACTCTCGGGAAAGTACACGGTGAGCCAACTACTACGAATGGCAGACAATAGAAAGGGATAGAAAACGGAAAGTGGCGTAGAGAAGCATAGTAGATTATTTCCGCATTAACGTGCAATGATAAGTGAAATTATGAGAAGTGTTTCCTTTCATTTATTATGCTCTCAGGGCCCGAAGGCATTACAGAGAGGAGTGGAATTATACATCAATATAAAATGAACAATAAAAACAAAACGCAAAAAACAAAACACAAGGTACAGAATCGCTATGGAACATTATTAAGAACATCAGTTATGGCGGTTTTAAAATCAGCAGCGTCTGTAAGTAAGACTACGGATGCGGGAAGGCGATTCCAGTCGACGGAGGTCAGGGATAGGAAGGAGGCATAAAAGGCGGAAGTGATGCAGTAGGGGATTCTTACTTTTAGTGGATGATCGGTGCGCGGCGATATGTAGGATGGTTCTGAAAATAATGAGGTTCGAATTGCTGGGTTAGAGTGATAAATTTTGTGAAATAAGCAGAGGCGAGCTATTTTTCTACGAAAGGAGAGGTTGGGCAAAAATAGAGACGCTTTCATGGAGGTGAAGCTGGCTGTACGGTGATAGTTAGAAAGTATAAAACGTGCGGAGTGATTTTGAATGGATTCAATGAATGATGCTAGGGATACGCCAGGGTTCCAGATAGAGCCTGCATACTCAAGTTTGGTGCGCACTAAAGTTTTATATAGGAGAAGTTTAAGTGAAACAGGGTCAAGGGAAAAGTTTCTTCTGAGATAGCCTAATAAAGGATTAGCGTTGTTAGTGACATCTTCGACATGGATGTTCCAGGAGAGATCGTTAGTTATATGAACACCGAGATATTTATAGGTTGACACAGAAAGAAAGGTGGAGTTATTATTACAGTAGGAGGAAAAGTGTTATTTTGACGGGACACTCTCATGGATTTACATTTTAAGGTGTTGAGTTCCATAAGCCAATTATCGCACCAGCGGGTGACGTCGTTAATATCGGTCTGAAGAGCAGATATGTCAGAGTCGTTAATGATTTCCTTATAAATTACACAGTCATCAGCGAATAGGCTAATAGAAGAGGATACATGCGTGGGAATATCGTTAATATATATAAGAAATAGAAGTGGACCTAATAAGGAACCTTGTGGGACACCGGACTTGACAGGTGAGGTTGAAGAATTAGTTCCGTTAGCGTGAACAAATTGGTAACGTTCAGATAGAAACGATTCTATCCAAGCGATTATATTAAGATCTATGTTAAGTTTACGGAGTTTATGAAGAAGCAGCGCGTGAGGAACCTTGTCGAAAGCTTTTGAGAAATCAAGAAATAAGCAGTCAGTCCTGGAACCCCGGTCAGGTGTTACGTGAAGGTCATGAGCAAAGGATTAGGAGTTGAGTTTCACATGAATAAAACCTTCGAAATCCATGTTGCGCTGAGTTAAAAAAGAAGTTTGAGTCTAGAAAATTTAAAATGTTAGTGTAAATGATGTGCTCAAGGATTTTACAAGGAATGCTCGTTAAAGAAATGGGACGAAAGTTTAAAGGGTTATGCTTATCGCCCCCTTTCTAGAGAGGGATCATCTTCCCCACCTTCCAATCTTTTGGTAATTCTCCTTGTTCAAGTGATTGCGAAAATGATTTAGATAAGAAAATGCATGAGTACGTATTAGCGTTTTTTCAGAAACTTACCATTAATATTATCAATGCCTGCTGTCGTATCGGTTTTAAAATTTTCAATAATGTTACATATATCTTCACAGTCTATGATAACAGGAAACATGGGCAAAACATCATAAGTTCTAAATACCGGACAATCTGAGGTTAGCGTGGATTTAAAACATCCAACAAACACATCATTTAACAAAAAAGAACACACTTCACTTGGCACCTCCTCTCCATGGGTGTCCCTAAGTACTATGCCAGCACTAGAAGGAGGGTCAACACTGTACACTTCACAGTACAAGACCCTGACAGGAGCATACTTCGTTTCACTTTAAGTCCAACCGTAGTCGACGCCATGGCCCGATGTAGCCAATCAAGCAGCGCCAAAAGTGCACCCTCACGTCGCTCGTCGTCTTTGTCCATTTGCAATAACCGATTAAACCAATCGCGCACAAAAAATGCAGCAAGAGTGCGGCGGCGCATTCACTGTGTGTGATTGGTTTAGTCGGGGATTGCAAATGGAGAAAGACGACGAGCGACGTGACGATGCACTTTTGGCACTGCTTGATTGGCTACATCGGGTCGTGGCGTCCACTACGTTTGGACCTAAAGTGAAACGGAATACAGTGATTAATCAAATCTTTCAGCTTTACGCATTAATAATCCAATTTAAATATCTACAAATATATGTAATGACGCGTTCGAGCAAATAAACGCTAACACGTTTTGCACGGCCTTTCCTATTGACGGCGGTTGCGATTGTTCGTTTTAGGCGTCCATTTGCCAAGCTTCATCGGTTCTGACGAGGACAAGGTATCCTATATGAATCAGCTACTCTCTGCGTGCCCTAAAGACAGTCCTTACAAGATTAACAAAGTGAGTATTTTGAGATAAAAAAATAAACAGTATTTCTAGAGTTATACTTTTGTGTCTTGCTTGTCATCATCCAGGAAAATATAACGTTCGAAAACTGCACCTTCGTGTGTATAAGTGATGGTGCGACCACATCAAATAAAGAAGAACGAATCCCAACAGGCCTGCTTTGCAACAGTGGCGGAAAGGTACGTATAAATCACTCATATTTTAGAAAGTAATAGGCGTCAGGAAAGATGGTTTATTTTGCTTAAAAACGACTTTAAATATGATCAAGTCAATATTCCGCTATTTGCAAGGTTTCGTGTCTAGTTCCCCGTCACGGATTCTATAGAATTTTATTGATATCTACTCTAAACTTCGGGGTGCCTCACTGCTTCTTTTAGAATATCGAAGTTATTTTATCAAAGATAGGGAATAGTTGTTCGACAAAGAAGGTGCTAAACTTCAAAAATAAATATTCCTTTGGTTTAAAATTACCTAAGGTGGTGCACGTCAGGTTACGAGCGAAAAGTAATAATTAGTTATTTCCTCATACCAAAATTTACTAATGAGCTTTTAAACCATTTGCTTCAGCCTGCACATTCTAACTAGAGATTAATTGTCCATCATCAAAATAGGTAATTGCTGCTAGAGTTCAGAAATTCTGCTACGAGCTATTTTCTCTCAATTTTAAGCATTGAAAATGCTTTAAAAAACAGTTCCAAATTATTATTTCACTTAGAATCTACAAGAATCAACAAAGTAGAAGGGAGTATCCCGTCATGCCCGGTCCACTAAGAGTAGTGCCACTTTGTAATACCGGTTGGCGAACAAATTATTTTGTTAAATAACTGAAAACATGCAGGCGAGCTGGTGAACTTCCGAAATCTTGAACATCGGAGACTTAGGAACAAAAAACGTACACCTGTGTGTTGTCCTTCTTATCGATCCCTGGGGCTCGGGTGTTCAAGACGTTGAAACTAAATCATTGGCCACAGCAGCGTCTACAATACATCGTCATTTATGTGGTAGGGCGGCTCGGCAGTGTTGTTTTTTGAACAGTCACACACACAAGGCGTGATTAAGCTGCAGGACACTAGATATAGGGGCATAGTAGTGGGTTTCGTACCAAAAAAAACAGAAAGTGGAATAATTACCTGGTTTCGTTTAGCATGTTTGTCAGTTAGGCCTTGCTAAAATCAGCTGTGTGCCACAATTTCTCCCTCGAAAAACTTTTTCCTGAGAATGAAATCCTGACAAACTATGGTCCCACAATTCCTTGCTAAAATGTTTCCTCTCTTGGCAATTCTGACAAGTACAAAAACAGACCAGCGCTAGAAAGGAATAATGCTTGCATTGTTTTGCTTATTCTAGCTATATAAGAACTCACAATAGCGTCTATATTCCTTCCTCTGCTCTCTTCGGAATTCTCGGACTTGTAGATATATAATAATAGGACTTCACAGTGTTATTGAATTGTTTGTTTTCTCCGTGCAATGTTAGTTGTGTATTTTTTTTGGGGTGGTCGAGGGGGATAATAATCACTGAACTAAAATCGCCATAAAAATTATATGTAACAGTTAAACAGACACATGGCGCTAATCTCAACAGACAGAACATTAAAACACCTCAGCAAAAGCGCTGCCACAAATACATCTTGTCTTAAGTACGAGATGTTACAAACTAAGTGGGAACAACTACTGATACAATTAGATGCGGTCGCCACTGTTATTTTACCCAATTGCCCAAATGCTTGCAAGCAGTTAACCGAGAGAAACAATTACTCTGCACGAGATTCTCTGTCTAAAACATTGAACTATTTATTCAGGAGGCACTGGTTGATGTAAAATTCGTAAAAGGTGATTTTGAACTAACGTGATGCCCAACCGTTTCAGAAATGCCCCGACGAAGGGCCCTGCCCAAAACTCCAATTCCCAAGCTGCTAAAGGACGGAGAATGCCCAGTTGTCTTTTTACAGGGCCACTAAATAAAATCATGTTCCAAATAAAAACTGTTTTAAAACGCTGAAAAAAAAAACAAAGTTGAACAATGAATTAACACACTTTTAGAAACGCTCACTCCCCGGCATAGATATTTTTAAACATTTCAGTTCCACTTCTTTTGATGGTTGGGACATATATGACGTACCTTACCAAAACAACTGACGCATAATTTAGGTGGTATTACTAGCACCACACCTCTAGATTCAAAAACACTGCCTGAAATTCCTAGGCCAATATTTTGCCTCAAAGACATTGAGGTGGCTTGAAGCTAAAACAAATTACTCATCGATTAAATCTTTATTTAAATCTTTAGCTCGGTTGCTCTGCAATGAAAGTGTGGCAACTTTGGAACATTCTTATATGAGGTAATCTGAGGCTGACACAAAACCTCCAAGTTTCATTGCCGATCTTGTGGAGAAGAGATTGTGAAGTCTTATAGTACACTCTAAAAAAATGGAGGAAAAAGGTCGCAACGGCGCAGTTTCCGCTCTTCTACTATGGTGCCTGGAACGCGTCTCCGACTGGTGTGTTTACCGCGGCCAAAAAAGTGGTCCCTCGATTTCCGCCTGATGACGTCATAAAAGTGTCATGTCGTCGCCGGTCGCGACCCTGGCGGCGTCCCAACAGTTCTGGCAAAAATGGCAGACGCCTGTTATGCTGAAGGTCGCTTTCCATTGTGACAGTTCACGGAAGCTAGAGCAGCCGGAAGTTGGGACGCCTAAAGCGACGACGTGACGACAGCGACACTTGCGTTCGCTCGTGCTTTTCGCCAGCATTTCTACGGCCAACCGCCAGGATCGCGACAGGCAACAGCATGACACCCGCGTCATTTTTTGCCACATTGGGACCACTTTTGATGTATGGGCGGGATAGGACGCTAAACACACCAGTCGAAGACGCGTTCCAGGCACCATACTTCTACTGACGCGCCCCCAAGCGGACACGAGAAGAAGGGAGGAACGAGACGCTTTTCTGCTCCTCCAGGCAGACGGAAGAAAGCTTCCCCCCTCCCGACTCATCTTCTCTCGGTTTCGTTTTTCGAGCACGTCGCACAGGTTGTTTAATAAAAGTAGTTGAGTTGACTGAGCTTCAGCGGCAACGAAGGCCGCCTGTAATTCCGTCTCCCAGTCCGAACGTGCAGAGCGTTGCGGTTGCATTGACGTTTTTACCACTGATTTTATCTAGCGAGCAAACGAAGCCGCTAGAAACAGTGAGGTTCCGAAGTGCCAGCAGCGCTGCGTGCACTGGGCTAAGATGGCCATCTCTGGATTGCGGAATCCAGGATCCAGGGGAGGGGGGAGGGGGGGGGGCTGATAATAAGGGAGGGAGCGGCCTCGCTCTTCTCCTCCTCGCTTCGGTTCACCAGCTAGACGGGACGAAGCGAGGAGGAGAGGGAATGAGAATCGTGACGTGACTCGTCGGCCTCGTCGGCCTCGTCGGTTGTGTTCAATCTCACATTTCTTTTCCGAAATTACGGCCATCCGTTAGAGAATCTGGTTTCTGCAGAGTCCCCCATATCGCACCAGTCCTGCTTTGTGAGCTCGAAATTTCGGTTTTTAGTATCCCTTCAAGTTCTATGTTGTGCCCATTCTATGAAAACTACATATTACACCGTTATCTTCGATTACTGAGCGTTGTCAATATGTGTAATGTTGAAGTAAAAGTCATTTCTTTTTTATTAAGAGATTTAAAGTATGATAAAATAATTACCATCCAAAGCACAAACTGTCAAGCTATCATTTCCACAACTTAAATTAAAACACACATAGGCTCTAAACAAATTAAAGATTATTTACCGTATGGGTGAACGGCACTCTAAAAGATGTCAAATACAAAGAACTATCCCAGTTGCACTATCAAGCCATATTCTAATTTTGAATGCAAATTAATTTTAAAAATGCTTTCAAAGCTCGAAAACAAATTTGCTAAATCAAATGCCGAAATTAGTCTTGCACTGTTGAGGAAGCTCTTCCATCCATAAACTTCTTGCGCGCGAATGCGCCTCTCACACTCCTCTCTAACCTCTGTACTCAGTCAAAAGCAACTTACCTGCTTTGGACTGAGAATGTTAATTCTTTATTGAATTCATTGCATATTTCCACGGGCCGCGCTTTTCAATTCTTTATTGAATTCATTGCATATTTCCACGAGCCGCGCTTTTCTAATGCCGATCACCACACGCTCGAAAAGAGTCGTTCATCAAAACTAGAAGGATAATAAACCCTGGAGAAGGGGAACAAAGGCGACAAAAGGACAAACAAATCTCCAAATACAGCTAAGTGTTTGTAGAATTATAGTTATTCCTGCCTCGCTTGCACTGTTCTGTTAACTGTATTATCATCAAAATAGAAGGGCATAATTTCCAAAACCACCAAATCTAGCTTCAAATAGATTTCATGGTTCTTCGCGTGGCTGGCAGCTCGGGCGTTCGGCACCGTATGTCCTTGCGGCCGGACATGCTTAGTTTCGGCTCCTCTAAATAAATATATTTGCCACCTGAACAAGGTTACAACATTGGCGACGAAAACCAAGAACCCCTGATGACCAGCGGCATCTCCAACGACCGAGACGTGGGAGACAGCAGCACCCACCGCTTCCATGGCCCTGAGACGTTCGACTCCAACAAGGAAGACTGGAAGCTCTATCAGATAAGATTTCAAGCTTGCTTGGACGTCGCGAAGATAACCACCGACGTCGACAAGACAAATTTATTGATATCTTCACTTGGATCGGCGACGTTTGAGCTGCTATACACCCTGGTTCAGCTTCAGAATTTCTCCGAGCTGACGTATCAAGACCTCGTTTCACGGCTCCAGGATCACTTCGCTCCGAGGAAATTCGAGGAGTTCGAGCAAGCCAAGCTATTTTCGGCGTGTCAAGAGGAATCGGAGAACGCAAAGGAATTCCTCGCAAGATTACGGTCCATTATTGCAACTTGCGAATATGAGACGGAGACCAACGCCAGGAACTGTTCACTCTTGACGGCATTCATTGTTGGCCTTCACGCTTCCCGCATCCAGGCACGTTTGGTAATGGAGAAGGGCTTAACGCTAGACACTGCACTGCGGCTGGCCGAGTCTTATCTCAGGGCTGAAACGGAGTCCCTCCAATTTAATCGTCCTGACCAAAATGCGCAGCACGTCGACAAAGTAAAGCATCCTGTTTCTACCCCAGCCAAGTGTTTCCGGTGTGGCAACAACAACCACGTACAATCTACTTGTCGATATCGGAATGAATCCTGCAACAGCTGCGGCAAGCAAGGCCATATTAATCTACTTGTCGATATCGGAATGAATTCTGCAGCAGCTGCGGCAAGCAAGGCCATATTGCAAAGATGTGCCACTCCAGCGACCGCACCGAACAACGAGGAAACCGGAAACGGGACGTCAAAACCGTCACGAACGTTTTCGCTACTCGCGATAGAGACGGCGAATTTGTCACCTGTCTCCGTCCAAGGAATCCCCGTTAATTTGCAAGTGAACACCGGTTCCAAGCTGACACTACATAACATTGACACCTGGGAGAAGCTCGGATGCCCGCCACTCAAGAAAAGTGAGTGCAACCTGTGTTGTTTCAACAACCATGCGATTCCTCTCAAGGGACAGTGCGTTCTTAACGTCACACTAGGCCAACAGATCTCTGCGTTGTAAGCCGTGGGGACAGAGAAGAGACAAACCGACTTGCTTGGAAGAACGTGGATTGATGCCCTCAAGATCGATCTGAACCGATTGTTTGTTAGATCAGTTGAACTGACTACACGCGCCAAGCTGGACTGAATGCTCACGTGATTCTCGCGCGTGTTCACCGACAGTCTTGGCTGCTGCACGAAGCTGAAGGTTCAGCTACGGTTCAAGCCTGATGCAACACCACGCTTCTTCAAGCCGACACCTATTCCGTTCGCGACACGTGCGGCGGTAGAAAAGGATCTGCAGAAACAGATCAACAACAAGGTTATTTCACCAGTTGAAGTATCCAGATGGGCAACGCCAATCGTGGTAGTCTCCAAAGCTGACGGTTCAGTCCGCGTGTGTGTACACTTCAGCGTCACCGTAAATCCTTAACTGGACATCGCTCAGTATCCTCTACCACGACCTGAAGAACTGTTTGCCAAGCTCAACGGAGGCAATCGATTCACGAAGTGGTGATCTCTCCGAAGCGTACCTTCAGATGGAACTAGACGACGAAGCCAAGGAAGCCCTTGTAATCAACACCCATGAAGGACTGTTTCAATTCCATCGAATGCCTTTTGGAATTGCGTCGGCACCAGCCGCGTTCCAACGAACAATGGACCAGGTCACTGCAGGTCTTGATGGTGTGGCTTGTTATCTGGACGACATCATTGTAACCGGGAAGGACACTTCCGATCATCTTTGGAATCTGGAACGAGTCCTCGAGGGCCTCGAAGAATACGGGTTTACTCTGAAGAAAAGCAAGTGCAGCTTTCTTCAAGAGCAAGTAGAATATTTCGGACAAGTGGTTCACGGTGAAGGGTTCAGTCCGTCCCCTAAGACTATTTCTGCTATCCTCAACATGCCTGAGCCCAAAAATGTTAGCCAGCTGAGATCTCTTCTGGGGATGATCCAACACTACAGTAAGTTCCTGCCAAGCTTGGCCGAGATATCCGCACCACAGAACGCCCTTCTACGAAAGGACACTGTCTGGAACCGAACCTTCGATTATGTGGACGCGTTTGACAGGATCAAACAGCATCTATCAGAAACCGAAGGTCTTGCCCCCACTTCGACCCTGACAAGACGATCTACCTTGCGGCAGATGCTTCATTAGAGCGACTTGGAGCAGTGATCGACCATAAAATCAACGGAAGGGAATGTCCCATCGCTCACGCCTCAAAGACACTTACGAAGACGGAGCGGAAGTATGCCCGAATTGAGAAAGAGACACTGGAAATCATCTTTGGCGTACGTAAGTTCCACCAGTATCGCTGGGACGCAAGTTTGTCTTGTACGCAAATCATCGATCTCTGACCACCATTTTTGGACCAACCAAGGACATTCCAGTCACTTTAGCTAACAGACTTCAACGTTAGGCGCTAATTTTAATGAATTAGGCCTACACCATCGAGTATGTTCCAACCGAAAGGTTTGGGAACGCTGATGGCCTGTCCCGGTTTCCTGAAGGCCCTGATCATGCCTTTGACCAAGAGATGTCACAAGGCGTGTTTTCCATTCAATTGCAGTCTGAAGATGTCTTCGCACCCCACAACGAAAGTCTGGCAAAGCTCCCCATCAGGACAGCTGACATCGCCAAGGAGACAGCCAAAGATCCCAGCCTCTCCCAGGTTCGCACACACATTTTGGAAGGATGGCCAACGAAGGTCGTTGACCCAAATATTCAACCGTTCCACAAGCAAAGAGCAGAACTTGCCGAGCTCGACGGTTACATTCTGTGGAATGCTCGAACGGTAATTCCTAGCAAGTTCAGGCCACATATCCTCGATCTGCTTCATGAGGGTCACATTGGCCAAACGAAGATGAAGATGCTGGCGCGATCTTATGTTTGGTGGCCAAGAATGGACCATGAAGTCGAAAAACAAACTCAACTGTGCGAACAGTGCGCATCAATATCGGACACTCGACCGCAAGTCCCTCTGCATTGTTGGGAATACCTAGGAACACACTGACATCGCCTTCATGCAGACTTTGCAGAGTTGGACCAAAAGCACTAACTCATCGTCATTGATGCTTTTAGCAAATGGCCGGAAGTCATTCCGATGACATCTACGAAAGAATCAGCAACCATGGATGCCTTCAAAGAAATATTTCAGCATAATGGTCTTCCACAGCAGTTGGTAACGGACAATGAACCTCAGTTCATTAGTTCCGAAGTCGAGTCGTTTATGGTTCACAACGGCATTAACCACCTTTTCACGCTACCGTATCATCCGAAATGAAATGGTCAAGCCGAGAACTTCGTGAAGACGTTCAAAACCGCTCTCGTCGCGCAAAGGGAAAGGACATCCGCAAGAGCCTCCAAGACTTCTTGATGGGATAACGCATTACCCCTCCTATACTGTAAAATTCTTTATTTTCGCGGCCCCTATTTTTCGCGAATCAGTCACAGATGACGTAGTCGCGACCACTAAATTTCGCGAATTCCAGACGCCTGCATTGAAAATCTTCAGGACCGAAATTTTCGCGCGCCCTTAAATTTCGCGAATTCTTCAGTTCGTAAAATTCGCGAAAATTGAGGGCTCGCGAACATTAAGGGTTTTACAGTATCCACTGGGAAGGCCCCATGCGAACTTTTGAACCAGAGACACTATAGGACGATGCTTGATTTGGTAAAACCCTCGGCCAAACCGTCCAGGTCTCCACAGATCTGCCACTTGAACTCGCGCTCGTTCGCAATTCACCAAAAGGTCTGGATCAAGCACCCTCTGAGAAAACAGCACTGGATTAAGGGTGTGATTCAAGGAAGGATAGGCAGCGTGATTTTCAAGGCCCTGGATGAGAACTTCAAAGTTTGCCGTGTGCATGCTGACCACCTAAAGAACAGAGTCACATCCGACGCTTCCGAAGGCCTCCTGTTTCCGGGCAGCAGAAATTCACCGGTGGAATGCACTGCTTCTCCAACGGAATTTCCAACTCCAGCAAGCCCAGCAGGTTCACACCGCATATTGGAGCACATTCTAAGGTACCCTCAACGAAGACGCATGGCACCGGAGCGCTTTCAGTCTTCGTAATCGGGGAGATGTAGCAGACAGCCTGCTATCATCATCGAAGGAACCATCAAGCCAGGTGCACGGGCTCGCGTGGCTGGCAGCTCGGGCGTTCGGCACCGTATGTCCTGGCGGCCGGACATGCTTAGTTTCGGCTCCTCGAAATAAATCTATTTGCCACCTGAACAAGGTTACATCAGTTCTTACATTTATTGATTTTTTGTAATAAACTGAAGTTTATGCAAGCAGTATCAGTTAGATTTAAAGTGCATGCCTCCAAGTGTCGTACCTTGCTGTTTTAATATTTTCCATTCAAAGTTTTGTACGATTTGTTTTACACTGCTTATATATTCCTTGAGAGCAGACTATTCATCGATCGTGTTTTATGAGTGCAAAAGGCCATTTTCAGAAACTCATCCAGCAACATTTTCGGCCGCCATTTTTTGGGTACGAAGCGTATGATTGTATCTGACTACTCGCTGAACGCTGACGTGGAACTTGTGCTCGGTACCAGCTAGACCGTGTTCATACCAGAGTGCCGACCCGGAACCGAACCGTTATTTTCAGGCAAACCACAACTGAACCGAACCGAAATGGTCGCCGCCATCTTGAAATTAAAGCGGAACTGAGCCGGAAATACTACTACAGTAACCAGTTCAAAACGGTTAACAATATATTTTTGTACATACAAAAAATTTGTATTTGAGAATAAAAACTTGGCTGCTGTATTATTATATATTGATCAAAACGTCATATACAAAATTGCAATGCATGGAAATTGGTTGTTTTCGTTACGCTTTTGTATTGGCACTATTATAATCATGTGTCACGTGGTCACGTGGCGTCGTGGTGTCTAGCCATGCTGTCAAGTAATGTCACGTCACGTGGCCCCGTGATGTCACGTGCGGATTTAAATTGAGAGCTTTACTACATTCATTAGCGTTGTTGACACTGTCATATCATATCACGACTTCGGACCGCGAGTCACGTGACACCGTAACATACTCGACTGTCATCAGCCCGAGTCGAGTGCTCGGGTTCATGACAATAAGCATCGACAAACATTAGTGTAATCGCTTCTGTTCAATCTGAGAATAGCCAAACTCTAGCGATGTCTGAGGCTCAACCCATGATATGCTTGGTCAGCCCCAGCGCTTGCATATAATGAACACGGACGTCATATAATTAGCGTCAGACCATGATGCCGCTCGTTCTAATTGCGAGTTGCAAAGGGGAGAGCTGTTTCTTTCCTTTATTTTTTCTGCGTCTGTCAATGCACGGGAAGCAAAACCAATAAGTGGTTTTGCAAGATATTGCCGCGCGCGCAGCTCGCCAAGTAGGCAGCGCACGCGTGGCCTAAAGCGCGATCCAAACCAACGCTTCTTTTTCCGCCTGTAGGTCGTGCGGCTGCGGATGTGACGCATATCGTGGCGTTTTTGCTGTTTCCGGGCGCGCTTTCTGAGTCAGAACCGTGCGCTTTGGTTTGGACGGGCGAAACTTCGGCACGAGCGCACAAGCAAAGTGCAACTGCGCCAGACGGCGAGAGAAAGAAAGAGAGATCGCGTTGTCATGTTGGAAGAGAATAAAAGGGGGGGGGGAGGAGAGGGTAGCCAGACGGCGAGAAACGCGGAGCCGGAACTAGCTTGCCCTCCACCGATTGGCCGGGACACAGGAGCGCCCTATACGTCACCGCGCGTTTTTGTGCGTGTTGAGAAAGAAGTTGAAATCAACCAACTTTCTTGTGCGCGCCCGGAAGGAGCGAAGAAGCGGCGCGACGTCACGAAAATACGTCACATCCGCAGCCGCACGACCTACAGGCGCAAAAAGAAGCGTTGGTTTGGATCGCGCTTTACGGTTATCGTGCCTGCATCCCACGCGAAAAGCCAGGGTTCGACTCCTGAGAGCGACGTGTTTTTGTTTATCTCTGCACTTTAGTGTTCTGGTAAAATCGAGAATCCTGGTGCTTGTTCG